TTACTAGTAATCGGTCTGTTCAGATTTTCTGTTTCTTCCTGATTCAGTCCTGGAATAGTGTTTATTTCTAGGAATTTATCCATTTCTTCTAGGTTGTTGAAATCCTGGCATAAAACTTTTCATAATCCTTTGTATTTCTGTAGTGTTGGTTGTTACTTCTCTTTCATTTCTGATTTTATTTATTTGAGCCCTCTCTTTTTTCCTGATGTGTCTGGTTAAAGGTTTATCAATTTTGCTTATGTTTTCAAAGAACTAGATCTTGGTTTCATTGCTCTTTTCTATTTTTCTTAAGACTCTATTTTGTTTATTTCTACTCTGATCTTTATTATTTCCTTTCTTCCACTAACTTTGGGATTTGTTCTTTTTCTAGTTCTTGTAGGTGTAAAGTTAGATTATCTGAGATTTTTCTTGTTTCTTGAGGTAGGCCTCTATCCCATAAACTTCCCTCTTAGTACTGCTTTTACTGCATTCAAAAGAATTTGAACCTGTGCTTCCATTTTCATTTGTCTCCAGGTTTTTCCTCTGTGATTTCTTCACTGATGCATTGGGTTGTTTAGTATGTTGTTCAGCCTCCACATATTTGTGTGTTTTCCCAATTGTTCCCTTGTAATGACTTCTAGTTTTATAGCATTGTGGTTGGAAAGATGCTTGACATGATTTCAGTCTTCTTAAGTTCATTGAGACTTGTTCTGTGGCCTAACATGTGATCTATCCTGGAGAATGTCCCATGTGTACTTGACAATATGTATTCTGCTGTTTTTGGATGAAATGTTCTCTATTTATCTGTTAAGTCCATGTATTCTAATGGGTTGCTCATAAGCCACTGTTTCCTTTTTTTTCTGTGTGGAAGATCTCTCCATTGATATAAGTGTACTGTTAAAGTTCCCTACTATTATTGTATTACTGTCAATTTTTCTCTTTATGTCTGTTAATATTTGCTTCATATATTTAGGTCCTCCTTTGTTGGGTGCATGAATATTTACAATTGTAATATCCTTTTGTTGATCTCTTTATCATTACATAATGCCCTTTTTTTGTCTCGTTAGTCTTTGTTTTAAAGTCTACTTTGTCTGATAGAAGTATTACCCAGTTTGTTTGCTTCTATTTGCATGTCTTTTTCCATCCCTTTCTTTTCAGTCAGTATCTTTAGGTCTGAAGTGAGTCTCTCGTAGGGAGCCTATAAATGGGCCTTGCTATTTTACCATCCAGTCACCCTATCTCTTTTGACGGGAGGATTCAGACCATTTACATTTAAATTTTTTTTTTTTTTTTAAGATTTATTATTTGAGAGAGAGTGAGTGAGGGCGAGCACACAGAGGGAGAGGGAGAGGGAGAAGCAGACTCCCCACTGAGCAGGGAGCCCGATATCTGAGCCGAAGGCAGACGCTTAACCGACTGAGCCACCCAGGCACCTAGACCATTTACATTTAAAGTAAAGTATCAGTAGATAGGTATGTACTTATTGCCATTTTGTTGTTTTCTGGTTGTTTCTGTAGTTCTTCTGTGTTCCTTTCTTGTGCTGATGACTTTCTTTAATGTTATGCTTAGATTTCTTTCTCTTTATTTTTTGTGTATCTATTATAGGTTTTTGGTTGGTGGTTACCATGAAGCTCATATGTAACACCCTAAGTATATAGCAGTCCATAAGAAGATGATGATCCCTGCAGTAAAAACACATTCTAAAAGCACTACATTTTTACTTTCTCCTCTATGTTTTATGTATATGTCATATTTTATGTCTTTTTATTTTGTGAGTCCCTTAACTAATTTTTTTTTTTTATATGGCTGATTTTACTACTTTTGTCTTTTAACCTTCATACTAAGCTTTATAAGCAACTGATCAACTATCTTTACCATATGTTTGCTCTCACCTGGGAAATTTTTTCATTTCATTATTTTCTTATTTCTAGTTATGGCCTTTTCTTGTCCCTTTAACATTTCTTATGAGGCTGGATTAGTGGTGATGAACTCTAACTTTTGTTTGTCTGGGAAATTCTAGCTCTCCAATTCTAAATGATAATCTTGCCAAGTAGTATGTTGGTTGTAGGTTTTTTCCTCTTGCACTTTGAATATATCATGCCACTCCCTTCTGGCTGCAGTTTCTGTCCCAAAATCAGCTGACAGTCTCATGGGGTTCTTCCTTATATATAACTAGTTCCTGTTCTCTTACTGCTTTTTAAGATTGTCTATCTTTAATATTTGACATTTTATCTTGGTGTGGTCCTATCTGGGCTCATTTTATTTGGGACTCTCTGTGCTTCCTGAACCTGGATGTATGTTTCCTTTCCCAGGTTAGGAAAGTTTTCAACTATCATCTCTTAAAGTAAGCTTCTGCCCCTTTCTTTCTCTCTCCTCCTTCTGAGACCTCTGTAACGTGAATGTTATTATTCTTAATGTCCCAGATATCCCTTAACCTACCCTCATTTTTTAACATTCCTTTTTCTTTTTGCTGTTCAGCTCGGGTGCTTTCCATTACCCTGGCTCTAGATGGTTGATCCATTCTTCTGCATCCTCTAATCTGCTGCTGATTCCCTCTAGTGTATTTTTCATTTCACTAATTGTATTCTTCAGCTCTGATTCTTTTTATATTTTGTATCTCTGAAGTTCTCACTGAACTCACCCACTCGTCTCTCAAGTTTGACGAGCATCTTTACGACCATTACTTTGAATTCTTTATCAAGTAGATTGTTTATTTCTGTTTCATTTAGTTCTTTTTCTGAATTTGTTTGTTTGTTTGGAGCACATTCCCCTGTCTCATTTTGTTTGACTTTCTGTATTTGTTTCTATGAATTAGGCAACAGAGCTACCTCTCCCAGTCATGAAGGAGAGGCTCTGGGTAGGAATGTCCCTGTATAGACTACATGTGCCTGGCAGCTCTGGCTGGCTGGTGGTAGCTGTAACAAGTGTGAGCTGAGTCCTAGGGTTCGCCATGCAGGGATGCCCTGGTAGGATGGCTGGAGCTGTAGTGGGTATCGGCTGAGCATGCACTAGTGTGCACTGCACTGTGGGCCACCTTGCTGGGCTGGCCGGAGCTCAGGTGGGCACAGGTGCAGGGCGCTCTTTTGGAAGAACGGCTGGAGCTGACGGAGGGGAAGAGGTGCAAGTCTTGCTGAGAGGGCAGGCTGGCTAGAGTGGCTAGACTCTGCTCCCATTGATGCTATCAAGGAGGTGGGACAAGGTAATCATAGCGCTTTGCACTTCTGACCCCAGAGAGAGTTCCAGTTTTCCCACCATTTGGTAGATGCCCTAGAGTTGGTATATGGGTTTTCTTCACTTATATTCTAGTTGCCCTTTATTTTATTTTTTAAAAAGATTTTTATTTATTTATTTGAGAGAGAGAGTAGGGGTGGGGCAGAGGGAGAGGGAGAAGACGACTCCTCACTGAGCAGGGAGCCCAGTGTGGAGCTTAATCCCAGGACCCCAGGACCATGACCGAACTGAAGGCAGACGCTTAACTGACTGAGCCACCCCGGCACCCCACTAGTTGCCCTTTAAATCACAGCTTTTTTGTGGGGGGGTGGGCAAATCTGTGCATGGGTCCCTCAATGCTCTCTCTCCCCTCTGCAGTTCACAGTGTAGGGGGTGGGGGTCCCATGGTTACTGTGTCTCCATCTCTCCTTCCAATCTCTATGTGGTCCTTCTATCCTTTGTTGTGCAGAAGCTGTTCAATCAGCCCTCAGTGCTTCAGGAGGAATTGCTCTATATGTAGGTGTAGATATGGTATGTCCATGGGAAGAGGTGAGTTTAGGTTCTTCCTATGACACCATCTTGGATCCCTTCCCTTGACACACTAAATTTAAGGAAAGGCTTCCATCTGTGCGTTCTACTGTTCTACCTTTCCTTACTTTTTATCTCCATGAAAAATTTCAAATTTATATAGAGAGAATAGTAAAATAAACCCTCATGTTCTTATCCTGCTTCAAATTGTCAAGACCAATCTTATTTCATCTATTCTCCACCTACCCTCCACCTATATACTCCTTCCTACACTCAACACATAAGTACTGGATTATGCTGAAGTAAAACAGGAATCTTTTTATAAGAAAAATTCTAGTTTTTGAGAGACTGAAAAGGTTATATTAAAGCAACTCATTCAGAGTCTGGAAATACCCACTTCGCTTATTTTAAGGAGCTAGGCTATGCCATTGTTTTCTTTATTCCTTTACTCAATTAACATCCAAATGGCATCCAGTATTTTAACCACTGCTTACTGTGACAAATGCCCTAATCTCACTTTGGCTCTGCTGTAATAATAGTTCACTGCATTCCAGCTAACTATGTTTAGGAACATTTAAATTAAAAAACAAACAAATAAACAAACAAACCCATGAAGATACAGTTAGTCCTAATCACTTTATATTTAAACAAAAATGAGGGAGTGAGGAGAAAAGGATACTAAGACTGTGCAAAGTCTTTTAACGAACCAAAGAGTTAGTAACATACCTATTCTTTCTTGTTCTCATTTCTCTCTTTATTTTAATTCCTAAAGTAAAAAAATCCACACACATATTTTGACATACCTTAGTTTCACGTGCATACAAATCTGATTATCAATGATATAAAATGATAGTAGGTAATAATTTTCAAAAATCATTCGTTTGAAATTCAGAGTATTGTGATTATACAGAATTATGCATAAATTAAACAGAAGGCTCACGAAAAATAAATTTTCCTAAGGTATTGTTCTCATCAGTTACCTAAATTTTAAAGAGTACAAATTTTTGCACCTGATTATTTTTTCCTAAGACTTGCTATTTTAGGAGTATATAATGAATCCTAAGGATATGCATATTACTTTTAAAGAGCTAAGTACATTAGACTTTTGCATCCTCCCCCATCCCCAGCATGTAAGTGAAAATAAGCAACTATCTTCCTAATGAATTCATCCACGAATGCCAAAGTTTGAAGCACTTCTAGAGTGGAAGGTTGCTAAAAACAGAATTTTCTAAAATCTTGCTTTTTAAAATGTAATGGTTTTCACACTTAATGAGTACACTAACCTTTGGGTTTTGGTGGCACAGGACCTACAAATCCAATATTGTCATAAAAGTTATGAATAGCGCTGGGATTAAAATGTGGTCCTGAAATATATAAAAAGTAAATATATCAATGTTTATAGCTCAAAAATATTTAATTTTATTTTTTAAAAAGCTAATATTTTCTTTCTAAAAAAGATCACAGTATAAATAGAAGAAATGCTTTTATTTATTTTGCACCTCTAATCTTAACATATAAAGATTTGACATATAAAGATGTCAAAACAGTTGAGGTAGGTATAATACAGTACTCACAACAGAAGTCTAAGTGGTAAATGGAGGAAGAGGTCAAATTAAACTGTTAGTAACACAGTAACAGAATTACAACTAGACCACTGTTCTATGTGACAAGTTAAAATAACTTAAAATTTAACAATTTAAAATATAATTTCAAATGATCAAACATGGTCTTAAGCAACTAAATACCTTGGCCCCAAATAAGTATTAAAAACCTCGCACTAATTTAATATAATGGTTCAGATGACAAAAGGAACAAGTTCAAGAACTGTAGTTGCTAGACCAATACTTTTAAACTATGGCATCTTCAGTGAATGTTTCAAGATACATGATTTATTAAGGTTTTAAAAGAAAATACAACATTATAATCTTTCAGTTTGATGGATTTTCAGCACACACTTAAAAGAGTAATTAAGGACTTCTTTTTTGTTGGCTTCCTTCTCTTATCCTGTCTTTTCTATTTCATATATTTCTGTTATTTCCCTAACTTCAGAATTAGGTTTAAGTTATAAAATTTCCTTTTAGTTGTCTGTGGAACTGAATTAAATTGTCAAGATTTTTTGCTACAATAACCAAGTACTGCTTATCACTAATAGCTCAAGCTTCCTAATAAGCTATCATTGTTCTAAAAATGTATAGGCCATATTTTTATTCCCTTCTCTATTTTATCAATTAAGATAGTGCCATTAAGGTGGGGATGTCTTTTTAACTATGATCTTAAAAGCATGATTCTTGAAAGGTAAAAGGAAAGAAGGGAAATAGGAAAAAGACATGAGTACCTATATTTTAACCAATATTAAATATTATACATGCTACTAATATATTACAGCAATACTTTTGACAATACAGCCATACTAATCATTGTCTTTCCTTAACACGAGACTAAAGCAGGTTTGAATAATACAAATTTTATCAAATTATTCATAAACCAAATACATAGTTTCTTTTGGAAGAGGGGGCAGGGAGAAAAACCCAATAGTTTTTTAGTACTTTCTGGCTCCAAAGTCAAATCTGAGACAATAAGATTATAACTGATAAGTTTGTTTTCAGCCACAGGAAAAGAGTTGATAAAATTAATACAATGATTTCAGTTGAAAATGCACTGAACTTTACCTCGGGCTTGAAAAAGATCAATTTCTTTGGTTAAGCAGTCAATGTCAATCTGGAGTTGTCTATTACAACTTCTCAACTGCTGCATTTCTTCGAGCTGAAAAATAATTCCGTGTGAGAAGGATCTACGTTGAATTCTCTTGTCATTAGTTAAGAAAGAGTGGAGTTTGGCAGGGGAGGGTAAGGGCAAAGAAACAAGTGTGAATTAAGAGCATTTCTAGAAAACCAGATCAAACTTTTATACTTATGACAGACTGCCTATTCTCATGTTCAAGCACAGAGGTCACAAGAGTTATAGAAAGACTTACTGAAGGTATTTGGGATATGGAATTTGATCTTTTCAGGCGCCTTCTAGTTAGATTATTTTCCATTTCATTGACCTCAGATTTTAGTTTATCCAGCTTTTTCTTTTGAATCTCAAGTTCTCTTTGAAGTCGTTCCATTCTGGCCTTCTGGTGTACCAACAGAGCTGCAACACATATTAGTAAACATGAGGACCCACCCACTTTAGTCAATTAACCTTTAAGCAGCCTTGGTAAAACAAAACAAGTAAATATTTCTGCTACAAACAAGAGCATGTCAAGATACCTTAAAATAAACTATTCTGAGTATAAATGTTTACAGTTTCAAAATTTTTAACTTGAAAATTATTTTAATTATTCAAGCAGACAAATGTTGCTACTTGTTTAAAATATTTTTTAAAAAGTGTTCAGATAAACTCACTTTATGGCTAAGGACAGTATTTTTAGTATTACTTCAGAGAAGTAATAGGTAGTAGTCTAGTCAACTAATCTACTAACTATTATTTAATTCACATCTGACCCTCTGAAAAGATAAGAAGCCTGACGTGTTTGGACTCTGCATAAGGTATTCTAATATGGACACTTTATAGACATTTCACAAGGGAATGTGGGTTAAGCTAAATCCATTCTGATGTATGCAACAAATAAAACAGACTGATTTCAATCCACATGAATGTTAACATTAAATTGTTAATTTTTTTTTTAAGAGAGAAAGAATGCAACCATGTGAGCAGGGGTGGGGGAGGAGAGGAGGCAGAGGGAGAGAGAGAATATTAAGTAGGTTCCACACTCAGCACAGAGCCCAATGTGGGGCTCAATCGCAAGACCCCAAGATCATGACCCTAGCCAAAATCAAGCGTTGGACACTTGGGGCACCTGGGTGGCTCAGTCGTTAAGCGTCTGCCTTCGGCTTGGGTCATGATCCCTAGGTCCAGGGATCAAGCCGTGCATAGGGCTCTCTGCTCCGCGGAAGCCTGCTTCTCCCTCTCCCACTCCCCCTGCTTGTGTTCCCTCTCTCGCTGTGTCTCTCTCTGTCAAATAAATAAATAAAATCTTAAAAAAAAAAAAAAAAAAAAGAGTTGGACACTTAACCAACTGAGCTACCCAGGCTCTCCAAATTGTGAAAAATCACAAAGTAAAAATGATACCACTTAGAGAAATCACTTATATTTTATGAAAATATTTTCCTAAGATTTGTTTTTGTTTTTTTTTAGAAAGAGAGAGAGAGAGCACAGGGTAGGGAGGGGCAGAGGGAGAGGGAGAGAATCTTAAGCAGGCTCCATGCTCAGCGCAGAGCATGACATGGACCTCGATCTCATGACCCTGAGGATCATGATCTGAGCTGAAATCAAGAGTTGGATGTTTAACCGACACCCAGGTGTCCTTATTTTCCTAAGATTTTTAAAGAAAGAAATTATGCAATCAATCTTGTAGCATGAATGATAAACTGCTTGGGAAACCTTATTAAGCCATAAAAATCAGTGTATGTTCTTGTGATTAATCCTTGGACAATGTAGGCCTCTTTTTTAGTATACTGAACTGGAAGTGAAGATACCTGTATCTACTTCTATAAAAAGTCAGCGTGGGATGATTTTACCATGAGAAAACAGGTGGATTTAGAAAAGTACAATTAACAACCTTTAAAAATGAAAACTAGTTACTAAAATGTAAAACTCAAGTAGATTAAACAGATTAGGTTAATGCTGAACAGTCAGATGAATCTAAAAAATAAGAAAAAGGCTATGGCATATTAAGGTATATTTGGGCCATTCAATCTAGTAATGTATTCTAGAACCAGAATTAGGGTATGGAGTGGGAGAGGCTGTTAGGCTCAAGTACTTAAAAACTAACCTTAAATAGTAGATAATTTTTCCCAACAAAATCTGACACTGTTATAATCCATAGATGCTTCCCTCTGTAATTCTCCTTTCTTATTTATTGGAAAAAATAAATACTAGGGCATAAATTAACCTTTCTCCCATTTTAATATATATTATGTGACTGCAGAGAGGTGTTTTTGGAGATAAACATGTTCCTGGTTGAAAACTCGCTGTTTCTTTGTTACTTTCCTATCAAGCTTTAATCAATTTGGCTTATTTATCTGAACTGCAGTTTTATTCCTCTATTTCCAAAATATTAAGAATTCTACATTAGGGTTTGTTCATTCTCCTAAAAAAAGATGAGGATGTGGGCTGTTATTTTTTGAGTGGGACACAAAGAGAAGAAAAGCTGGAGGCAGGACTGCAGTAAGAATGAAGGACAAAGCAAAGGAAGATGAAGAATAATATACTTCCCTTCATTTCTAAACTCCAAGCATCTACCAACAATGTGTCTCAAGTGGCATTACTTAGAAATTTGTGATTTTATTTAAAAGTAGCATTTCTTAAAATTAATACTCAAGATTTTCTCCCTAATGACTAAATTCAATATTCTCTAATGACTAAATGATGGTTTATTATTTATGCTGAAATTATAAAACAAGATATACATTTGTGGTACTATTCAATATTATATTATGAAGCAGGGATCAGAACAGATTTCCCGAGAAACTGAAATCCAACTTATAACACATCTGAGTGATCAAAATTTATATTGTGAGGGCAGAGAGAGAACCTCAGGGTGAGAAATTATTATGACAATTATCCCAGGCTAGTGATTTCCTTGGAGTGCCTGGCAGAAGCAAATGCAAACTGCTCTGTCAACCCACTTCCACTACCAGGGAGCTATTACTATGGGATCCATACAGAAAAAATCTCAATGAAGAGAAGCTCTCAGTAGAAAAGTATGACCAAAAAAGAAAATGATCTACCATGAGAATCAGTGGCCCAGAAAGAGCCCCCCAAACTTAAACTAAAAGGTAGCTTACAGAATAGGAAAAGATATTTGCAAATGGTGTATATGATAAAGGGTTAGTATCTAAAAACTACAATGAACTTATAAAACTCAACACCCAAAAAACAAATAATTCATCCAGTTAAGAAATGGGCAGAAGACATGAATAGACATTTTTCCAAAGAAGACATCCAGATGGCTAACAGACACATGAAAAGATGCTTAACATCACTCATCATCAGGAAAATACAAATCAAACCACATTGAGATACCACCCCCACACCTGTCAGAATGGCTAAAACTAACACAGGAAACAACAGATGTTGGGGAGGATGCAAAGAAAGGGGAACCCTCTTACACTGTTGCTGGGAATGCAAACTGGTGCAGTCACTCTGGAAAACAGAATGGAAGTTCCTCAAAAAGGTAGAACTGCCCTACAATCCAGCAAATTGCACTAGTAGGTATTTACCCAAAGGATACAAAAATACAGATTCGAAGGGGGTACGTGCACCCTGATGTTTAAAGCAGCATTATCAACAATAGCCAAACTACGGAAAGAGCCCAAGTGTCCATCGACTATTGAATGGATAAAGAAGCTGTGGTATATATATATATATGTATGTGTACACACACACACACACACACACACACACACACGTGGAATATTACTCAGCCATCAAAAAGAATGAAATCTTGCCTTTTGCAATGATTTGGATGGAGCTAGAGTGGATATGCTAAGCAAAATAAGTCAGTCAGAGAAAGACAAATACCATATTTCACTTAATGTGGAATTTAGGAAACAAACAGATGAACATATGAAGAGAGAAGAGGGTAGTAAAAAAGAGAGAGAAAGAGGGTAGCAAACCATAAGAGACCCTTAACTACAGAGAACAAACAGAGAAAGGCTGATGGAGGGAGGTAGGTGGGGGATGGGCTAAGTGGGTGATGGGCATTAAGGAGGGCATTTGTGATGAGCACTGGGTGTTGTATGTAAGTGATGAATCACTAAATTCTACTCCTGAAGCCAATATTACACTATGTATTAAACTAATAGAATTTAAATAAAAATTTGGAAAGAAAAAAAAAGGAAAAGTACCACAAACAACCTCTAGAAATGAAAAATAGTGAAACGAAAAAGTCAAACAGATTAAGCAGCAGATTAGACATAGTCAAAGACACAGTTAGTGACCTGGAAGATAAATCTAAGATCATTACCCAGACACATAGAGATAAAGCGACAGCAAACATGAAAGGGGTTAAAAAAATCTCACATAAATCTAAAAAGAAGTTCCAAAAGGAGACAACAGAGGCAAAGGAGGAGAGGCGAAATTCAAAGAGATGCTTGCTGAAAATTTTCCAAAACTAAAGAAATAACAGAATCCAGAAGATCATGGCATAATTTGATCTAACTAGATTATCAGAGCATGGATGAATAAATACATTTTTAGATAAAGTTTGGGGGAATCTATCAACCACAGATTGCTGCTGAAAGAACTACTAATGATGTTTTTGGTAAGAAGGAAATTAATACAAAAGGAAAGAATAGATGGATAAATCCAAATAAAGTTCTAACTCTAAAACAAAGGAGAAAGACCACGGCAGTGGGTGGGGTGGCATAAATTGCTTAGAAAAAAGTAAAACTAAAACATCAGAAAATAATAAGAAACTGGAAATATAAAGATCAGAGAAGCATTCTTTCTTTCTTTTTTTTTTTTTTTAAAGATTTTATTTATTTATTTGAGAGAGAGAGAATGAGAGAGAACACATGAGAGGGGATAGGGTCAGAGGGCAAAGCAGACTCCCTGCCGAGCAGAGAGCCCGATGCGGGACTCGATCCAGGGACTCCAGGATCATGACCTGAGCCGAAGGCAGTCGCTTAACCAACTGAGCCACCCAGGCGCCCGATCAGAGAAGCATTCTAAGGTCTTAAAAGTATTTAGGAAGAATACTCTCAAATGTTGCTAAACCAAATATACATGTTAGGGGTGCCTGGCTGGCTCAGTCAGTGGGGCATGTGACTCTTGATCTTGGGGTTGTTGAGTTCAAGCTCACTACTTAAAAAAAAAAATACTACTTAAAAAAAAAAATACACACACACACACACACGTTAAATATTTAGGAATCACTACTAGAGAAAGCTAAATAGAATGCAGTTTCTAAATTAAAAGACCAAACAAAAGGAGAAATAATAAAGATCTGATTAAACTTAGATGGCAGGAAAGGAAGAAAAAAGAAATAGAAAATAAAAAAATTATGACAAGAATAATTCCAAATATATCAGTAATCACAACTGCAATTTAGTTAAATGTATTTGTTTAGATACAAGAGATTTGCA